TATCTTTTTACAAAAAACAGCTGAACATGAGAGGTTTTTGGACCAATTTTGTGTTCTCCATTCTTTAAGCACCGGTTTGAGCACCGTTTGAGCACCGGCACCGTTTCAAAAGTACCGATTTGGCACCGGTATCGGATAAAACCTAAACGATATCCATCCCTATATATATGTCAAACCGTTTTTTAATATATTTAACTCCTTTTCCGCTGTAGTCAGAAGCTGTTCTAGGTTTTTACCTGAGCAGTACAGAGTGGTATCATCAGCAAACAATACACATTTTAACAGTTTGGAAATGCTACATATGTCATTTATATATAATATAAATAATTTAGGGCCCAGCACAGAGCCCTGAGGAACACCACAAGTTACCTTCAACTGCTTAGATTTTACATTATTGAATTCGACATATTGATATCTTTCATCCAGGTAACTTTTCATCCACTTGTATGCTATCCCTCTTATGCCATATCTCTCTAGTTTATTCATTAATATAGAATGATCAATTGTATCAAACGCCTTTTTTAAGTCTATAAAAACACCAACAGTATATTCCTTATTATCTATTGCATTAGATATCCCTTCAACAAGTTCCATCACTGCCATCGAAGTGGACCTTTTCACTCTAAAGCCATATTGGTTATCACTTAGGAGATTATGCTTCTCAATATATTTATCAAGTCTATTAACAAATAACTTTTCTAAAAGTGTTGTACAGTGCATTTGCTGTCATGTAGTTCTTGTTATGGATAAAAAGTGTCTTTTTTTTGTTTCAAAACAGCTGATAACTATTCGCTGATAGCTGCCAACATCTGCAAACAAATATAATTCTATAAAGTGGTTCTATATATTGTGTAACTGTTCATATAGAGAGTTATTAAATTTATTGCTAATGCAATCATATGGCACACTGACTTCTGAGGAAATTTTAAATGGCACTCGTCATCAGAAAGGTTGCCTACCCCTGCTGTAGATTATTTATTATAAGCCTATTTTTACTTTGCTTACCAACACAATTTCAAAACTGGTTTATAGTATGAAGTTCGTATAGTCGACAAAAGTCCTGAATCGGTCATGTGCTTTGGAGCACAGGCACATCCATCAACTCTACAAGGTTAACTCTGTAATCATCAAAGCTTGTTACGTTCAAACTGAGGGCTATCTTCCAATGTACACACACTAACAGTCCAGCAAAGGTTTGAGCTGTCTGAACATCATGCCAAAAATAGAATAGAATAGAATAATCCTTTAATTGTCCCACAAGGGGAAATTTGGTTGTAACAGCAGCCAAAAAGACACATATACAAACAAAGAGTACACAGGGCACAGGACAGAAACATACACAATTTTCTTACATATTTACATTAAGGACAAAGAGAAAAAAGGACTCTGTCAGATCGCAGCTGCTGATACTGGCTGCAAGCTTGGAGTGGCGCTGGAAGTCATATATAAATAACCAAAGACATTTAAACTTGAGAAAAATAACTTTTGTTGCTCACAAATCAGGAGGTGGCTATAAGTTATTATAGCGTTTCCAGGTTTAAAGAATTGGAATTAGAAGCAACATCAAGAAATATAAAGTGTGCCACACAATACAGAAAATGCCTGAAGAAAGATCCAGCGGTCTAAAGACCCAGAACAGCTCCCGAGACACTAGAGTGAATGACTTAGCCACGTTGTGAAAAGTAGATTCAAAGAATACAATCTCTAAAACCCAGACAATGGACTGCAACGTTACTGACCAACAAAAAAATCTCCCTCACCCTCAAGCCAGAATAAAGTACACTAAGGACAACCTGGAGAAAGATTATGCATATTGGAAATACCTCCTGTGGGCAGATGACATGAAACTAGAGCTCTTTGGCCGTAGAGACGCCGCTTATGTTTGGAGAAAGCAAGGAGTGCATACAACCCAAAGAACACTGTCCCCACAGTGAAACACAGAAACACAGAGAAAAACAGAAACAGTGAAACACAGTGAAACAAAGACACACAGTGAAACACAGTGAAACAAAGACACACAGTGAAACACAGAAACACAGAGAAACAGAGAGAAACACAGAAACAGTGCAACACAGAAACACAGTGAAACACGGAAACAGTGGAACAAAGTGAAACACAGAAACAGTGAAACACAGTGAAACAGAAACAGTGAAACCAGTGAAACAGAAACAGTGAAACACAGTGAAATACAGAAACACAGTGAAACACAGAGAAACACGGAAACACAGTGAAACACAGAAACACCGAGAAACAGAAAAACACATAAAGAGAAACACAGAAACAGTGCAACACAGAGAACCAGAGAAACACAGTGAAACACAGAGAAACACACAAAACGTGAACACAGTGAAACACAGAGAAACACAGAGAAAGAGAAACACAGAAACACAGAAACAGTGAAACACAGTGAACACACAGTAACAGGAAACACAGAACAGTGAAACAGACAGAACAGCAGTGAAACACAGTGAAACAGAAACAGTGAAACAGTGAAACACAGAAAAACACAGAAAACGTGAAACACAGAAACACAGTGGAACACAGTGAAGCAGTGAAACAGTGAAACAGTGAAAAACAGAGAAACACGGAAACAGTGAAACACAGAAACACAGTGAAAGTTAGTTCAGGGGATATGTGTTAGCCTTGTTAAAAACACAGGCCACCACAACACAGTCACGTCCATGTGTGCCTGCTGTTAGGGCACAGGAAACTGCTGGAGTGTTGTCCTCAACAACATGTGTCAGACAATACGAGCACATAAGCACTGACACAGGAAGTGCTTTTGTGTGTGTGTGTGTTCCTGTGTTTAATTGTGTAATTTCCGTAACTGTGAGATATGTGCTGCTACCTATCTTGGCAGGTCTCCCTTGAAAAAGAGGTTTTTAATCTGGTTAAATTAAAAATAGAGGAAGGGAAGAAGTTAAAAACTGGACATAGAGACATTTGAGTGTTTGTGTCTCTGTATAATCTGTAAAGCTCTGAGCTTCTGTACTCCTACATCAATAAAACAACCATAAAACCAACACAGTCGTACATGTCTGCACCACAACAGCTTATCTTCCATTATTACCAACTTAGCCTGACTCGACTCCGTTACTGTTGTTTTTAATTACTACTAAATACCACCTCAATGTGTGTCGGACGTCATAGCAACGCAACTGCAAGTCCTGTGATGTCATTTGTATGTGACACAACCACAACAACAGAGGACGCTGCGGCAGTATAGCTAATGCCCACACACACAGACCACTACCTCCTCTTTGACTCCCACCACCGTCTGGAACACAAACTTGGACCCTACAACACTGGGCAGAAAACACGCCCAGGGCAGGAGGTAAAGAAATGGAACACACATGTAAACAAAGCTTTCAAAATATGTGGTTATCCCAGCTGGGCCTTCATCCAACCAGCACAGATGCAGAGTAAAGAAGGTCAGACACCAATGAGCCACACACTCATACACAAACTGGTTAATCCCAAACACAAGCTAAGCAACACAGTGTATGCTGTGGAGTGCAACTAGGAGAGCTCAGACCTCTGCAGTGAAGAAATTAAACAGCCACTGCATAAACGCATGGCACAGCATAGAAGAGCCACCTTGACAGGACAAGACTCGGCTGTACATCTGCATCTAAAGGTCACTCTTTGAGGATGCCAATGTCCACATTTTGGACAGTGAAAACAGATGGTTTGAAAGAGGAGTGAAAGAAACCATCCTTGAACAGAGGGCGGGGCTTACGACACCAACTGTCTGCTACCTACATCCCAGTTTTGAGATCCCTTCCCAGGCACCTCAACCCCTACTCACATCTTGCGTCAGTTGATCTAAATAAGTCACATGATAGGGCGAGGCGAGGTCCCACAATGGCTTCACCCGAAGTCTCTGCCGATAGCGACCTACACCCTTTTTTGACACCTTGGCTCACATGATGAATAGACATCATAGACACCTCACCCTTACTACTGGAACTTCAACATTATGCACTCCATACTGTACATTAATGCCACTTGTTTTGCACATGTTCAACTACCAACCTCTGTATAGTTTATACATTTTATTTATTGTTTACTCTATTTAATTTGTAAAATATGTATACACACACACATGTAGAAAAACATATTTAGTATACACATCCAGTGATGCATATACTATTATATATTGTACATATATTTATTACTCTCAGATTTAGCCATTCTTATATTTTCCTTGTTTTATGTTATGGTATGTTTTGCACACCTCTGTGGCTTGTGAAGCTCACACACAAGAATTTCACTCGCATGTACTGGACCAGCGTACCTGCACATGTGATGTGACAATAAAAGTGATTTGATTTGGATTTGATTTGAATAGTGGGTCAACGACCCTCTTAAGGGACACCTGGGACCTGAACAAACTGAGTACCGTGTACTGATAGCATGAATACAGTTGAAGTTTTAGAGCAGTCGTGTTAGAAATAAACACACTACTGCACTGGGAAAATATAACTGGGATAATACTGTGTTTCCTGCTCGCTGTGCTCGTTTCTGCTGCTCCTTGAATGTCTCCATTGTCCATGAGCTTTATAATTTCTCCAGATTTCTCAACGCAGCTAACACAAAGACAACTTGAAAGGACAGATGTAGTAGTATCCCACGGAGAGAATGGGGGGTGGGGTTATATAAATCAGTATGTGGCCAAAAGCAGAGACACAAAGAGACATGCACTGCTAACAAAAGAAACGCGTTATGTGATCGATATCAAACTATAAAGTAACCTTCTTTGTGTTACACCCACGCCTGAAATGTGAATCAATTTCCCACGCCATCTGGAACCGGCAGTTAACCGTTTCAGGTATGCGCTCCTTCACAATAACCCGAGGGCATCAATTTATTTTCAGTGAAGTTTACAGCAGCATTTCCGTGACCTCGTTACATCTACCTGTCCGTTTCACCCCTTTAAATGCGTGCTACTGATCCACTAGTTCGCAGCTTTATCATGCAGCGGTGGTTTTGTTACGTACCTATTCTCTGTAACTTTATTTTGGGGAACTTAACGGTGATATCCCGGAGTATGCGCTGCCTGGCATCGGCCTCATTCTGGACGATCGTTTTTACAAAGGCTCCGAATATCTCTTCAGCAGCAGCCGTTAGTCGCTCATTAACAAAGTCTCTCAAATACTCGACTGAACACATCGTTACTTCAGCAGCTCAAATATTTATCTGCTATAAAGTACACAGCCGTTTTCAGCTTCGACTACCGAGCAGAGCCAGAAACGTTCTACGCATGTGCAAAAGAACTTCTTCCTGTTCCTTCCTTTCATAATAAAACCCCTCGACATTTTTAACAAGCTTTATTTAAAAATGACAACCTATGCACCACTGACTATAGAAAGGACTGTTATCCAGTGATGTTTATACAGCCAGTGGTGCATACAAAGAAACTTAATGCCATAACAGGAAATGAGTGTGTACAAAATAATAATACAAAATCACTAGTTTTAAACTCAGTGTTTGCAAATAATGTAAATTATTATTTGGGAGTAACAGGCAGAAGTTAGACAAAACATTCACAAAGGAGATGAAGATGAAGAGGCTTGGATGGAGCTCTGAGTAACATGTGAGAGGCTGAGATGAGGAAGAGCCGGTCTGCATGAAAGACTGCGAGGGCCGGATAGAAAGATAATTGGACTAGACCAGTGATGTCAGCAGTGAGCTTGACAGGAAAGTGGAAGTGATGAAAAGGATAGATTGGCCAACAAACACAGACAGATCTGCGATACAGATTTTTCTTTATTGAACCATGTGTAAGCTTCATTTCAATAAGCAGAGATTTTTAGGATGAACGGAACATGATTTACTGATAAACAGAAAGCAATCAAACAATTCCACAATTTTATTGTAACAATAATTCTATTCTATTCTAAGCTTAGAAGTGGATTGTGGTAAATGAAACACAGAGCGGGCAGAGTAAAAGGGCCATCGGTGGCCAGAAGAGCGTTACGGAGCTGAGACAGAGCTCATGATCTGTGATATAGATCAAGGCCAGTGAAGGCTAGGAGAGAAAGCAGAGAGCCTGCAAGAGGCGGAGCGCTAGCAAAGGACAGACGAAGGAGAGAGCCTGCATTAAGGCTCAATTCAATTCAGTTTTATTTATACATCGCCAAATCACATCGACAGTCTCCTCAAAGCACTTTATACTGTAATGTAGACCCTACATTAATAGATACCGAGAAAAACCCAACAATCGTATGAGCCCCTATGAGCAAGCACTTTGGCAACAGTGGGAAGGGAAATCTCACTTTTAACAAGAAGAAACTTCCAGCAGAAACAGAGAGGCGGTTATCTACCGCAACCGGTTGGGCTGAGGCCAGGAAGACAGGACAAAAACATGCTGTGGAGGCCAAAATGGGCCAGTGAAGGAGATCGGAGCCTGCAATAAGCTGTAATATGCTATAATAATAGAACCTGCTAATTTTTGGTTGGAATGCTTTAGTGATAAACTATAGTGGTGAAAAGACAACTTGGAAAAGATAATGTCATATTTTGGATTGAATAGATTAGAAGAGGAAGTAAATTCACTGAACCTTAAAAACCCTTAAAAAGCTAAAACGAATATGCAATCCAAAAGACATTCAACATAGAACTAAACATGCCTTTGCAAAGACAAATTGGTATCTTATGAAGAATCAATAAGGTTATTGGTTCTGGACTCTTTCAGTCCAGAACTGAAAGAGTAACCTTTGCTATCCGGTTGTTCAGTCTGACGTCACTAGCCGTGTCTGGGTCTAAACTCCGCTGCAGGTCCATATATCAAACGATC